ATGATGCCGGGTTCAAAAAATTCTGAAAAAATTCAGGGTGAAAATAAGTTTAAAAATACATGTTTTTGAATTTTTGCGAGGTTGCCAATCATAAACTAACAAAAGGGGGTCACTTATAAATTTTCAGGAATTTTTTAAAAATTATGGTTAGGTTGGAACATCTCACAAAAAATATTTTCAAATACCTTTTGATACGTTTTGTATGCCCAAATTTTTTTAATAAAATTGTATCTGACAGGTCTCGTGACAAAAATAAAATATGAAAATACTTCATAAGGCAATATCTCCGAAAAGCGGTGGTGTACGGAATTAAAAATTTCTCCAAATTTTTTTTTCGGGTCAACGAACTTTTTGGTGACATGCTGGTCATAATCCGTTTGGGGGCCGATTGACCCCTTCTTAACCTGTTAGAGCCTTTGTTTTTGTTATTTTTGTTAGTTTTTACAAATTGTTTACAAATTATTTTTACTAACCCCTGCATGGATTGACTCCAAAATCTCATCAGATCTGAGTTGCGAAAATATACGCATATTAAAATAAAAATGATGCCGATACAAATTTATTTTTGTTATTTTTTACATGTTTTTTTACAAATTTCTTTAATAACCCCTTTTTGGACAGACCCCAAAAACTAATCATATCGAAATTAGGCCGTGCCAAACTCAGAAAGAGGTTCAACTTCTAAATCCGTCGTACCGTTTGCGACATATCGCGTGTACAAAATTCAAACGTACATACGTACGTACGTACAAGATCACGGACACAAATTTTTTTATTGCATTTTTGGTATCTTTTTTTTTAGGGTCTAAAAACGTCGACATTTCATGAAAAACTATAGGGTTATTTTTTTGTCGAAGGGACCCAATTCAATACTTCGTCCAGACCTACGGTCTGGGTCGAAGTAAATTGCAAAAACCTACGTGAAGAGGTGGACCTAAATATGTCAATAAAACACGCGGTTACAATCTTAAGAGATTCACCCATATATATTTAAATTTCTTTTTTTTCATTATATATTTTTATACATGACAAAACATCAATTATGTACAATTATTAGATTTTTTAATGTTCATTTATTATAATTTACACACGAATTGTAAATATGACTTTTTTCTAATGAAACAATAATCAATATTATGCTGTTTAATTTTTTCAAGGATTTACCACTGCATGTGCAAGAGCTTATAACCCGCATGAAAAATAGAAACCCAACTGCTCCTTTTCCTGCCAGCCTTAAAACATTTGCAAGAACGCTTCACTTCCATACACCAGCTGCTTATGATGTTGTTAGAAATAGTTTTCTAAAATGTTTACCATGTGTTCAAACCCTAAATAACTGGATTGGCTCGAAGCAGTATAAACCAGGCATTTCGGAAGACACGATTAATAATGTTTCCAGTATGGTGCGAGAAGAAATGAAGACAGGGAAACAAATCATTTTTAATGTAACTTTCGACGAAATGCATATCAAGCAGCACAAATTCTGGGATGAAAATGCTCACTCGTGGCAAGGCCTGGTAGATCACGGTGGTCAATTGAGCGAACAGGGAGAAAATGGGAAAAAACAAGAAGCCACAAAAGCTTTAGTGTTCATGGCAGTAACCATAAATGCTGGTTTCAAACTTCCAGTAGCTCATTATCTTATAAATTCACTCAATGGTACAGAAAAAGGTATATTACTAAAAGATCTGCTAATAAAGTTACATGAAAAAGGTATCAAGGTCTTTGGTGTAACATTTGACGGAGATAAGGCTCACAAAACAGCTTGCCACTCGTTAGGAGCGAACTTAAACTACAACGACAAAGAAAATTTCAAGCCTTACTTCGATCATTCGGTCACTGGAGAACCTGTTTTCATTTTTTGTGATCCGTGCCATTGCTTGAAACTAGTTAGAAATTACTTTGCTATTAAAGGGCCACTTATTTATAACAAAAACGAGTACATTCATTGGTCATTTATTAAAAAACTAAACGATAAGCAGCAAAAAGAAAAATTACACTGTGCTAGTAAAATTAGAAATCGACACGTTAATTTCTATACAGAGAAAATGAAAGTTTGTTTAGCAGCACAAGTACTTAGTAATAGCACTGCCTTAGCTTTACATTTTAATGAAATAACTTTGAATGACATGAACTTTGCACATTCGTCTGCAACAGCACAGTTTTGTAAAAACTTCAATGATATGTTTGATCTATTGAATGTTCGAAATAGTACCTCAAAAATACCAGAACGAGCAGCAGTTACCAAAGAATCTTTGCCAAATCTTAAAAAAAAAGTTGAAGAATTCATTTCATATATTGAAAAGTTGGAAGTCAATGTTTAAAAACAAAGCATCAAAAGTTGAAAATGTGACAACTCGGAAATCTGTCATCGTTTGCGATTCTGTCAGCACGGGCTTCGTTGGGTTTATTATTTCTCTACAAAACTTGTATAATAATCTTTCAAAGTACTTAATAGACAATAATTTTGTAGACTACGTTTTAAGTTACAAACTCTCTCAAGACCACGTAGAAATGTTTTTTTCTTCATTAAGACGAATGAATGGTAACAACAACAATCCCACTGTAACTCAGTATCTATCTGCGTATAAAAAAGTGTTACGTTCCTGGACTGTTATCCAGACGGGAAATTCGGGAGAATAAAGTGGGCATGGAAGGACGTGCAGACTCCTTCTCTCAAGTATACACGTAGAAGTGAACACCTGAGAGTCGAACGCACCTTTTATTGCTCTGAATCTAGGTTGCCCTGAATATAGGCCCAAAGGCGCTATAACACCTGATTCTGATGAGCGGTGCGAACGTCGGTCCTGGATTTGAGTCAAGGAATTCAATCCTTTTAACTCGGGATTGAACCAGACTCGATCTTTGAAAAGAGGAACGAATCAAGGGGGTTCTTTCGAATAAACTACTAAAATTTTATAAAAATGGTTTGAGAATAAATGGTTTATTTTATCATTATAAATGGTAGATTATCATCTAAGAAATTATTACGAGTTAATTGAAATCATTACAAATTATTAATAAAAGGTTATTACAAGTAATCATTTGTTATACATATATAGAGTCATTACGATATAAAAAAAAAAAGGTTATTACAAGTGGTTATTTGTCATATATATATA